CTACAACTTTTCTGTTGACAACTATAGTGAAAAAATGCGTAGTTTTCGAGTAAAATTCAAAAAACTGAAAATACCACCTTTTTACTTCGTTCTCAAAAACACACCCCTGTAAAAGGTAGCACTCCGTGGTTTTATCAGTTTTTAGGGTCAATTGAACATATCAAACAATAAAATTTCTGTTACGTTGTAGTTCCTTTGTACCCTCTTTTTTGACATAGTCAATAGCCTATAAGGAATATTCACATAACTGCGTGCATAGAACACCATAAAATACAATGTTTATCACTTTTTTGTACTTCTTTATGCTTAATTCTAAAAAATAATTAGCGTTGTAATAAATTTAAAATTCGATAAAATTCATATCTCAGCAATGTGACAACGCTGCGCGGTGGTTTATTAATACGAGGTACTAAGGTGTCCGGCAACCACCAATACGCAATTCAATTGGTATCTGGATTCGACTGCGTCGGAGTGTTTTTTGCGTACCACTATTTCCTTTTCTTGGGGTGTTTTCCAGCGAAAATTGGTTACGAAGATGTCGTGCGTACATTGAAAATGGTGGTGGACATTTTGAGCATATGTTGTAGTTTGTTTTGTACTTTTGCGTTTAAAAATTACTGAATTTTGCTTTTTAAGTACCTAAATTATTTTTAATGCGTATGATTATTTGCACGGTACTTTAATTACATATTTTCAAATACGTAATTTGATTAAAAGTAAAGTCCTGTTTTCAAAGATTCATAATTACTAAAATTCGAGCTAAAATTTAAGCACAACACTATCTTCGTACTACAAAATCGATACGTTTTATTTTATTTATTTAAAAATTGGAAAACAATTGTCTTGAAATTTACTATCTTCAATTGTATTTAGGTAAAATAAATTCTTCGTCTTGTGCCCTGATTGCAATATCGAGTTCCCGAGTGTTACTGAAAAACTTGCATGTTTTTCGAACCCGTCTTTCAACATTGGCAAATGTTTCTCTGTGGGGGATTACATGATTTGGAAAGTTCGGTTATTTTTTGTTGGCCCTTTAAAATATTTTCCTTGTTGTTTATAATAATTTTTATCAAGAAACTGTCCTTACGGATAGATTTGAGGCCAAATAGCTCGCAATCAGGCACCGTGTATTGGAAACAGACTCTCCTTTCAAACTATTAACACAACTCATTATTACCCCGCGAGTTGTCTTCTCTGACCTTTTATTTTTACGATTTTCTTCGAACGTTTAAATAATTCCGCCATAATAAAGATGGCTTATTTGCATATATCTATTCTTTACACATTTGTTGCGTTAAGATTTTATCAGAAGTTACGTGATGGTTATCCTTAAGTATGTACATTTAAATGTGTTTTATGCAATATGTAGATTACCTTCTATTTTTATTAATTTCTTTTTAAATTTTCAATAGAATAGAAATTTAGTGACCCTAAGGCAAATTGTGGTCGTAAAATTTTTACAAAATATCTTTCTATGGGACGTGAATACGCTCGGATGAGACATCGAACTATGAAAACTTAATTATACAGAAACACCTAACTTGAGGACTCTCCTTCATATCATTTGTGCAATATTTATTATTCGTAATCTAAGTAGGCGTGTTACTTCATGAAATGGTCGTGTCCTGGGAATAATTTACGATTGTATTGAATATGGATGATCACCCTGTGGCTGCTATTAATGATACAAATGAAATAGAAAACATTACCAAACAATATTTTTGCCTATTTGTGTTATATAACTTTTAATAATTTTTCATATAAATGTTAAATTGTTTTTCACGGCACACTTCTCGAAATTCGAATTTAAGAAGTCGATGTCTTTGGCCTTTCAGATATCTACCTTGTTAGCAAGAATTAAATTCCATTTGACAATAAGAAAGTTAAAAAATGAGAAAAACATCGCATTTACCGACCCGGTAGCAACGCTGGGTCTTTGAATGGAGAATTTTAATGAGAGAAAACGAATATTAATGGCTTATAGCTAAAAACTACTGTATACAGATTGCAGACATTTTTGCATAGTAGGTGTTGAAAATTAATAAATAGTTACCTAACTCGTTTCTAGTTATAAGCTAACATACATAAATATGATGAACTTTCCATATTTAAAATATATCGACATTTTCTAAATTTGTTGAATTAATTTTTGTTATTGCAAATACCCTTTATGTACTGTCACTGGACTCATCGCAATTACGTCCTTTATTTTACGAATATTTAGTGTATTTTGTTCTAATATAGTCACTTTAAACCACTGGAGCATTAATATGTAAAAAGATGCCAAACACCCAATTAGAGCTCCAATATAAATATTTGTAGTCGTTAGCATGTTTTCCACATACTTTGCATACATTTATAAAAATTCGCGTTTTTCTTGCAAGCAATGGCTGCATAAATGGTCTTGGTCATTCAATAATTTTTAATAGTTAACCTTTTAGGTTTCGTCTTACTAATTTGGTGTTTTTTCAGCATTTAACATTTTCTATAGTTTTGCCAGATACAAATAACAAAAAACTCTGACATTTTCTTATTTTTAGTTCTTTATTATCCTATAGGCTGGATGGTTGTATTTCTAGTAAAACACCCAAATAGCACAAACCTATCCCAAAGGTATTCTTACACTAAAAAAATCGGTGTGAATGAAAGCAATAAAGGCACGGAGTTAATCCATTGTGAGTGAAATTATTGAGTACATTTTCACTCAATATTGAGCATTTTGATAATTTTACTCGAATAAAAGCTTACAGGTATACACCGTATCCACCTAGTGCGCGTAAGTCCAATATCTAGGTTAATAAAAGATATAACTTTTTTTTTTCTACAGAGCTGCCTACTTTCCCGAGCTGCACAAAATGAAAATATATTTGCATATACAGGGTGTTCAGTTTTTCCTGGGCAGGTACCAACTTAATTTCTTTAAATGGAAACATATTTTTGGCATTATCGAATTCTACGTGAAAAATTAACGGGACTTTGTGTTATGATCCCTATTAAAATATTGATAGTTTTCAAGATAATCGACTTTTCATTTTTTTTTCTTATGTTTCGTCACTTCTAGTAGTTGACATAATTATGATTGTATGACAGCTAGAAATTATTTTTTTTCAGGAACTGTAGAGTGAAGATGGCTCTTTCAAAAAACGTATCAAAAGTTGACCTGCGATATACAGGGGGCAAAAAAAAAATCGTGCCAAACCTGATAATTTAAAATTTGAAAAATCTCGACTTTTTCAAATGGAACACCCTGTGTTTTATGATTTTCTGTAGACCCTACAATTTTTTAATAGCTTTTCCTATACCTAAGTTGCGTAGTTTTTGCAAAAAAACCGTTTTTATGTAAAATACCGGATTTGCGTCCCGTTCCTTTGTCGGGAAAAATATTGTAAGGGTATTTATTTTTATTAAATTTATTAATTGTCTAGCTACACTATTTAAAATAAAAATTAATAACTGAAAAATTTAGATATTTGAGTTTAATAAATAAGTCTTTATGGAAAGTTACCATTTACTTGTAAATAAAATCAAAAAACCATAAAATCGCTACAAGTGATTAATAATTAGCAAAATATGGGAAATGTTTGCTAGCAGCACGTATTTACAAAGCAAATAATCCAAATTTACAGAGATTCGCACTGTTTTGAAAATGTGATGGAAAGGTTTGAATGAACAGCAAATACGAATTATGAGAAAACTACCAGGAGACTTGAAAGTAACAACGATAATATTTAGTTTAAAGTTGTGGCGTCTGCAGTTGAAAATCCAAATATTAGTGCTAGGAAATTAGTTGAAGAAGAAGTTTCATCCGTATCATATTGAAAATCAAGCACTGTTACCGTAGTTAGGAAAGTTATTAGTGAAATTGGAGATTAAAAAATTTGGATGAATAGAATTTTTAAAAAAGAATACTCATAGTCGCAAGCTAACTTAAAATAAATACCCTTACAATATTTTTCCCGACAAAGGAATGGGTGCAAATCCGGTATTTTACATAAAAATGCGATTTTTGCAAAAACTACGCAACTTAGGTATAGGGAAAGCTATTAAAAAATTGTAGGGTTTACAGAAAGGCATCTAACTCCGTCAAATATTTTTGCTCCAAGTGTTAGTAGTTGAAAGTTAATACAATTTCTTCGAGGTCATGTTTTTTCAAAATTCGAAGAATTTTCTACGTAACTTGGCAACCCCGCACTAAAATGTTAAACTGTTTATATTGCCATATATAGAATTTTCTCAGAAATCCATATGTTTAAAGATATACAGGCTGTTCCATTTAAAAAATGTAATATTTGGCATGTGCCGTTTTTACTCATCGCCCTGTGTGTTTAAAATTAATTTTGTCCTTTAGGTTTTTTGATTCTGTACAACTTTTATATAAACTTTTTTCTGTATTATGAATAACAAGGGAGTTATTTTACTTTCTCAACTAACGGCTCACCCTGTATGATGGAGACTGCATATCAGGACATTGTGGACATATTCTCGTTTTCTACATCATATTTATTTAAGTACAATTAAGTTGAACAAAACAATTGAACGGTAAATTTTTCACTGAAATAATTTATGTTTCATTTCCTGTGATTTCTACAGCCGATTCTTTAGTTTTTGTTTCCCCAGCCACCTACATACAGGCAAATACGAGCGTGTTCAAACGTTAGGTACGTGATAATTACACTGTTTAGGCAAAGGATGGGTTAGGCTCGATTTTTGAGACTCAGTTCAACGTGGTGAAAGCGTCATGTAACATGCGGAGATCGCTTTCACTATCGACGCTGGTTATTATGTAGACCTCAAATAATTGTTTGTCGGGACAATTGACTTGGATATATGTAAATGGAAATTACCTCGAAGTGCCCGAGTTTCTGTTGTTTGTGGGCATTACTCAAAAATTACAAAAAATATGTGCAAGTAGTGCCATTTTGCAGTTATATTAAAGAATTAGTATTTCGGCATGATACTTGAACCGAAAATTGAACATAAAAAGATCAAAAAACACTCAATTTGTATAAAACTATTTTATTCATAAACGTCTACAAGCAGAAACATAAATCAAGAATAAATACCATCACCATTCCCCTGATAAAAAGCGAAACTGATAAAGAAATATACACGAAGAATGTTTAAACCGCCAGACTAAAACAAAGCCAAGACAGGATTCCTATTTCTTATCAAGATCTGGCACAAGACTGAAGTGAACAATATACACTATTACAATCAAGTCGATGTGGTACCTATACGGATACATTTTACCAGATCGAGATAAGTTCAAGTGATTCAAGCATTGGTTGTACCTTAGTCAGCGTTAAATTGCTAAATAAATAGAGTACGATATGTCGAGTTTTGCAACAAAATGTTGCGGGCTTCTGTAGGACAGGAAAAAGAGGAGAATAATTGTGTTTATCAGTCTTCCGATTCACCAAGTCAACTGAAAAGAAAAATGTTTGTTATTTTTGTAAAATTAACCAGAAGATGGTAAATAATAATATCTATTTACGAATCAAGTTATTGTATTGTTATACGGGTTCTTATCAGGAGATCCCAATACTAGGCTAGGCAAGAAACTTTAAGTTTTGTTGTATTCTAAGTGTGTATTTTTATTCACCTGATATCAAAATAAAACTTGTTATAGATACTTTGGAAATAATTAAGAATATGTAATAAAAAATGTATTAGTTTTGATTATAAGTATCAAAACATTGTACGTATTGTTACATTAGTTTTTACTAGGAGATCCCAATACTAGATTAGGCAGGAAACTTTATGTTTTATCGTATTCTATGTATTTTTATTTTAAAATATAAAATACCTCGTATCAAAATACTTCTTATACATATTTTGAAAATAATAAAGAATGCCGCAAAAAGTATATTGATTTTGATTGTAAGTAACAAAGTATTGTATGTATGTATTGTTATATTAGTACTTGTCGGGACATCTCAATACTGGGTTAAGTAAGAAACTTTATGTTTTATTGTATTCTAGTTTTGTATTTTTATTTTAAAATATAAAATACCTCGTATCAAAATACTTCTTATACATATTTTGAAAATAATAAAGAATGCCGCAAAAAGTATATTGATTTTGATTGTAAGTAACAAAGTATTGTATGTATTGTTATATTAGTACTTGTCAGGAGATCTCAATACTGGGTTAAGTAAGAAACTTTATGTTTTATTGTATTCTAGTTTTGTATTTTTATTTTAAAATATAAAATACCTCATATGAAAATAAAACTTCTTATACATATTTTGAAAATAATAAAGAATGCCACAAAAAGTATATTGATTTTGATTGTGAGTAACAAAGCAGGTATTGTACGTATTCTTATGTTGCTTCTTGTCAGGAGATGGCAATACTAGGTTAAGTAGGAAACTTTATGATTTATTGTATTCTAGTTTTCTATTTTTTTAAATACACAATAGTTGATATCAAAATAAAACATTTATACATATTTTGAAAATAATGAATATGTAATAAAAAATATATTGATTTTGACACAGGTTAAATGAAACGATAGAGTTCGACAAAAAATATCATAACTTTACGTCTAAAATAATTATCCATGTTAAAAGAATATATTTAATTTTAACATGCTTTCCAAGAACCTACTATGTACTACATTCGATGATATTTATTACATGTTTAACATCATTATTTTCATTTATTCTCAGTAATTAATCATTTAATCATCTTGACAAGATTACATCAAGTTTCTTCGTCATGCAGTGGCGAATCTACATAGAGAGATAGAGGTCTACAAATTCTTTGAAATTTTGAAAACACAAAAACATAAAAACAATTTTTAAGGATAATTCCATAAATTATTATCAGTTGGACAAATCCAATCATTGTTTTGAAAAACTGTTTTTATTTTGCACAACGAAATTTTCAAAATGTCTTTATTTAGGTATTTTTGTTTTAAGTCGTTGTTTTTTCTCTTTTATAACTATTATCGTGATTCTGCCTTTACTAGGTACATTGGTAGACACTACTAAAGACGAATATACCGGGTGATTCAGTTTGATATTCGCGGCCTTGTATCTCTTTTATTTTAACAAATAGCTATAACAAACCTTATATATTTTTAAATCGCCGCTCAAACTCTATCAAATGACAATATCAGATCGTCTCCATGGTAACATGTGTCAAAATTGCTATAGTCAAGTGTTTTTCTTCAAATGGCACACTATATATTTTTTATCAATTCTGGAAGATATTTTTTTCTGCGTTCAGCTATATGAGGAAGTCTATATTTTCATTAAAAATATTGGTAGAAAAACAGCAAAATAGATGAGCCCTACTTTCATTAGCTTTATTCTGAAAAATTATAGCCAGCTGCGGAAACAACTGAATTTTAACGTTTCTAAATAACGGTTTGTCAAAATAATTGACATTTTGTACCTACCTATTATATCTATAACTAATAATTATAACATGAATACTTACAGTAACCAAGGAAAGCTAGATATGATTTTAATTTATGGAAAAGGCTCCATCAGAAAAAAAATTCGAAAAGGTAGCTAGAAATTTGGCGGCAGATGGAAGTTTTCAAAAGAAAAGAAGAGTTTTTAAACTCAGAAGGGCAAGAGATGAAGAACATTCGATAAAGATGTCAAATGGCCTGCTAGATCTCCGGGTCTCACCCCTATAGATTTCTTTCTTTGGTCTTACCTAAATGATATTTATCTTAAAAACATAATAAAAGTAGAATGCCGGAGATTAAATGAAGAAACAGTAGAATGTGTTTGTAGAGGGGGAGTGATGAACAGAGCTATTCTGTGTTTGGAAGCAAATGGAGGTCATTTTGAACATTTGAAATAAGCATTGTTTTAAATTGTTATATTATTATCGTGTTAAAAATAAAATATGTTGCTTTAAAAAACATAATAACTTGTTTCCGCAGCTGGTTATAATTTTTTTAGAATAAAGTTACGAAAAGTAGGGTTCATCTTTTTTGCTGTTTTTCTAGCAATATTTCTAATGAAACTATAGACTTCCTTACATAGCTGAACGCAGAAAAAATATCTTCCAGAATTGATAAAAAAATATAGTCTTTTGAATAAAAACAGTTGACAGTAGCAATTTTGACATATGTTACCTTGGAGACGATCTAATAATGTCAATTGATAGAGTTTGAGCGGCGATTTAAAAATATATAGGGTTTGTTATAGGTATTTGTTAAAATAAAAGAGATACAGGGCCGCGAATACCAAACTGAATCACCCGGTATATTATTGTTTCGTCTAAAACAATTTTAAGGTTTGTTGAATTCAAAATGCATACCATTTAGCTAAATGAGGTAAAATGCACTTGTCCATCTTGGAGTCGTACGCCAAACCGGCAGGACACTGGACGATTTCAGCCATACCGTTCCTGCACAGACACACAGCCGTGCATTGTGGGTTGAGGGAAAACATTGTGCCAGGCGTGCAAGTATCTATCTTTTGCTTTATATCTGAAATATTAGTAAATAAACGATTTATCGATGGTATTATTTTATATTTAGTCATTATTTATTTTATTGAGGTAAAAGCTTTGTGAAACAATTCTTATCTTGGACACTTACCATTTGTCACTTGAGGAAGGACGTTTTTTGGAACTTGGAATATTTTTGGGGCTTTGGTACAGTCCACTCTTTCAGCATAGTCGCAAATACCAATTTCCTGAAAATTGTAATGCAGTTTTAACTTTAATGTCTTCTCGCCTAAATATTTGGTAGATACATAAGTTTATTTCTTTTTAATAAACAAGATACAAGTAGATATAATAGGCGAGCGGTTCACCCCTAAAAAATGGCATGAACCGACAAAATTTTTAAAACTAAAACCTACAGCATGAAACTTTTTTTATTTTATAGTGTATTTTTCTGATAATTTATATATATTTTTTATGTTTTTCGGCGTGGTCAGTCAATTGTTACAAACAAAAAAGTTGTAAAAAAAATTACTCGCCGACTGATTCTTTATTGTAAAATGGAGACTTTTTGTTCTTTGACATAAATTCGGAAAATGCTTTGTTTCCGGGATATGTACATTGTACAATTTAATGTGAAAGAAGTGACGAAATCGACAAACTTTCGGATTTTTTTTCTCAAAAACTACTGAACAGATTTTAATTCTAAAAAAGCATCATAATACAGATTTTCTACTTTAAGATATATTTTTTTGGCATGGGTCAATCATTTTATTGAAGGTCTAAAGCGAGTAAAAAAAAGTCTTGTAAAGAAAATTATGATACCACTTCAAATTTAAATTTTCTTTCTACAATATCTTGGATTAGATTATATTTATAATAAACATTATTATGATTTTTTTAATCGATATATGTTAACAGTACAAATGTTCAAAAGATCATTTTGTTTGGTTTTGTAGCCGGAGTAAGGTTTTTACAAGTAATTAGTAAAATTTAAATATTCGATTTTTGGTTTCATAAATCGTTAAAATTAACTTGAAAGTTGTACCAAAACTAAACTAAATAACCTTTTTAAATCATAAAATTAATCTAATAATAATAATTGACCTAGCGGTCTCGAAAAATAAAAAAGTTTTTGGATAATTTATTGTATAGGATAATTATTTTATTTTTATTTTACAGAAATATTAAGAGCAATAAAAGTATATTAATTTCTTTTTTATTTAATTTTTAAATAACAAGTTTTTCGTTATTTTCGACAAGTTCTTGAGTTGAAATAAGCGTTTCATCATCAATTTCGGATGGAACATTCTGAGCATTCATCTGAACACGATGACAAACAGTTACAATTTTTCGAAGAACATTTTCCACTACATGAACAAAAATATTTTTGAAGCATATCTAACGCAGTTTCTCTCGAAATAATTAAAATCCAAACAATCATTTTCTAATTTCCATCCATGTGTCAATGGATTTAGAGTTACAATTTCACTATTTGTATAGACTGTTTTTTTACTCGCTTTAGACCTTCGATAAAATAAATGACCTATACCAAAAAAAAATATCTTAAAGTAGAAGATCTGCCGATTATTATGCCTTTTTTAGAATTAAACTCTGTTCAGTAGTTTTTGAGAAAAAGATTCCGAAAGTTTGTCGATTTCGTCACTTATTTCACATTAAATTGTAAATATCTCGGAAACGAAGCATTTTTCGAATTTTTGTCAAAGAACCAAAAAGTGTTTAATTTGGTCCATTTTATAATAAAAAATTTCAAATCTGTTGGGCGAGTAATTTTTTTTACAACTTTTTTGTTTATAAAATTGACTGATCACGCTGAAAAATATGTAAATTATCAGCAAAATACACTTTATAAAATAAAAAAAGTTTCATGCTGTAGGTTTTTGTTTTAAAAATTTAGTCGGTTACCTTCATTTAGAAGCATCCTTTTAGGGGTGGACCGCTCGCCAATAAGTACTTACATCATTAAAATTGAATCCAGCAGGGCATTCGTATGTAGCAACTATTGTTCTTGAAACACAAGTATAGTACACACCGCAGTTGTTAGCATCTCTGTATGTTGCAAAATCAGCTGGGCATTCATCTCCTAGAAGCATTGGATTTTATAATTATCTCTTCCTTCTGTATCGAAAGTAGTTAAAATAGGTTAAAATGAATAGCACCTTTCAGTTTAACTGATCTATTATGACCAGATCTGTAAGATCAGTTAAATGAAAACCTTCTTTTGACATAAACAATTACCTCTTCTTAACTGAGCGGCAGTATGCGAATTGCTTCTTCCTGGAATGAGCAAGGGATCTTTGGAACAATCAACTCTATAAGAGAAATCACAAACCCCAAGATACTACAAAAAAAATCTATTAGTTACTTAACTCGACAATTTATTACTTGTATTACATCATTGTAATTTAAACCCTCTGGACACTCGTATCTGGCTACAACTTTGTTGGCTGTGCAAGTGAAGTAGGAACTGCATTTCTTCCTGTCTCTGAAAGTGCCATTGTCTAGAGGGCACTCAGACTTGGAACTGGTATCGGCACCTGAAACATCTAAATGACAGTTATAATCAAAACTGTAGCAGAAATAAGATATCGCTCTAATTCATTTACCTCTGGAATGAACAGGTCTATCCCCACACTGAACGTTGTGAGAAAAGTCACAGTATCCTTTGGTGGAAAACAAGAATCCCTCCGGGCACTCTTGTTCCAGGATGATGTCGTCCCAACAGTTCACGAATTTGTTGCAGGATGTGCTCGGGAACTGACCCCTAGCGTTCAAGCATTTGCTCCGTAACTGGGGTGCAATAACTAAAATATGTTGATGCTGATTAGAAATGTTATATTTCTAGGGCGTTGAAAGGATCAAAACAGGAATATAAATAAAAAAATCTTTAACCGAACAACAAAATGAATAACCTTTAACAAAATCCTAACACCTACCCACGATATCGTTTCTAACACCTAAAATATTACAATGGGATTCATTTTTATATTTCCAGAGGTCAATGCTATGATTATAACAGCAGTTACTGTAAATCACCAGAAAATGTACGACAGACACCGCTATAGGTACATTATCCCAGTGATTCATCATGTTTTAAACCCACGTACTAAGTAGCTTATATTGATTTTGGTACGTAGAAATTGAGAATACCTGTAGGCAACGGTGCAGCCGTTGGTGTAGATACAGTTGTAGGTACTGCTGCCAATGTGGGATTCGTCGTAGGTGCGAACGATGGTACTTGGGAAGGTGTCGGTGGTGGTGGTGATTTTATTTCAATAGGGGCTGCAATGACTGGCTGGGATGCTAGAAATGAAAAAAAAGTCAGTAGCTACTTTCTTAGTAGATTGTGGAGCAGCTGTCGCTGCTTTGAAGCATTTTGGAGGTTGATAAAGCGACATAGGCAGCTGAAGATTCCCTTCAACATAAAAAAATCAAGTTTGGGAGGAAATTTTGCAAAAAAATTTATACAATCCCATTTAAAAAAATATCGATGACGTAACCACTCATCTACAGTGTGTCAAAAAAAATTGTGCTTCGCTATAAAGAAAATAACATCCCATATACATAATTTAATGGTAATGATAAAAGATATATCATGGTATATCACAGGAAACCTGTAATTTTTAACCAACATTGAATTTAATATGTAACTGTTTTTTGGAATAAATAATAATTAATCACATATTTTGGCTTCCTTTATATTTTTTATTTGAATATTAAAATTCTTATGTAAATTTTGATATTGCATGTAGGAATCTCAAACGAGTACTTTTTTCCGTCATGTTTTCAACCTTAAGTTATACATTTATTTTGAATTTAAAAATAATTGTGGGAAAACAACTTGAGTCAAAAATTATAATTTCAAGGACTTGCAGAACTTAATTTTTGTCTAAATAAACAGTTTTAAAATGCCAGCAACAGAAGGTGAAGATATTCCACAACGGGAAGCCATAACAGCATTTCAAAAGTAATCTCTTCAGTGAACTTATGATCCTCAGAGATGTGGTGAGGAGTTTTATAAAAAAATATTGCCAGTGTGCATTCTTAGAGCAAACCGAGATACATTTTTAAAGACCTTTGTTATCAGCATCGCTTGTTAAACATATGGTTCCGCTTGCACGAAGGCTACGTGATTTTATAGAAATTATAATCAGATGAAAGATGTGAATCAGTTTTGTTGGAAGCATTTTAAACAATGTACATTACCAAGGTGGACGATGAGAATAGAAATTATATTCAATAAGAAATCATTCCTTTTAGTACTACTTTTAAGGAGCAATATGGGTCCTTGTCTACCATTGATTGAATTCCCGTTTATTTCCTCAAAAATATATTCATTCTTCTAAAATAATTCCACAAGTATTTCTTTTTGTAACATTGACTCCAATTGAAGATTTATTCCAATTGTTGTATATCTTACCTACTAATAAACGTCCAGCACAGTTCACGTTTTCAGGATAATCGCAGTACCCTTTCATGCTAAATAGCAAACCATTGGGACAAGTCTGTTCAGTGGCAATTCCTCCCCAACAGTTCAGGAAGGTGTGGCAAGCATTACTTGGGAATTGACCCCTAAGTGACACGCACCTGTTGTCACTTTCAGACCCCGATATTTCATTTGTCTCAAGGGATGAAGCAGCATTTATCGCGGGAAATCCTGCTAATACATTTTGTTGACCTACAAATAAAGAAAATAGTAGGTATGATAGTCAAATATATTAATAATTCCAACACTTTTTCTACTCACTAGATACTGGAGTTTGAACAAACGTATTTTGATTTGCTGCACCTTGAGATACTTGCTGATGTTGAGTACCTACGACAATAATAATGCACCTGTATCTATTAATATTTCATTCATGTTTCTTTCCTTACCAGAAAGATGTAGTTGATTCTGTTGCTGTTCCTGGTGACCTTGTTGATGATGCTGCTGTTGATGCTGCTGCTGTTGATGATTCTGTTGTTGCTGATGCTCTTGTTGATAGTGATGTTGATGATTCTGTTGCTGCTGCTGGTAACTCTCTTGTTGTTGATGCTCTTGTTGATAGTGCTGCTGCTGGTGGTGCTGTTGTTGGTAATGCTCCTGGTGACTCTGCTGTTGATGATAGTGTTGTTGATGTTGTTGTTCCTGGTGACTCTGTTGTTGATGATGCTGCTGTTGATAGTGTTGTTGCTGTTGGTTATGTTGTTGATTTTGTTGGTACTGTTGTTGGTGCTGCTGCTGTTGATGATTATGTTGTTGTTGCTGCTCTTGTTGATAGTGGTGTTGATGTTGTTGATGCTGTTGATATTGCTGTTGGTTTTGCTGATGTTGCTGGTTATGGCTTTGTTGGGCACCTTTAAAAATTGAATTAAACGTTTTCTATCTATCTATATGTATATTTGTGCCTGTTTGTGTGAAAATATATAAAGTACATACCAGATAATTGTGTTTGAGCTGTGTGAATAGCTGAAGTTGCAGCTATTGGAGAACTTTGTGTTGACGTGACTGTAAATGTAATAAAAATCAGTATTTAATGATTAAATTGTGGTACTTTTTTTCTCAATTACCGGGTATTATATTCGATTGAACAAATGAATTCGCATTTCCTGAGCTTTGAGACACATGTTGATGGTTCTGCAACTGTTGTTGTAATTGTTGATGTTGCAATAGTTGTTGGCCAGTTTGAGCAACTTGTTGAGGTGGTACAGCTGAAAAAGCAATTTGTTATGAACTATTCTGTTTATTCAGTGTATTCATTACAATATTTATTGTTTCTGTTATTTCTGTTTGGGCAAGATTAACCTTACCTAAATTACATTAACACTTACCAGTAAACTGTACGATACTAGCATGAATTGGCGATCCTATTGAAGGGTGTTTTGATGGTGCGTCTATATACTGTGTAGACCCTGAAAGGAAAATTAAAAAATGTATGTTAACAGAATAAATTTGTAGTAAAAATCATTTATCACAACTTCAAGGTTCTTCATTAAGTGACAAAAATAAGCCCCAATAAAAATCTTATTCTAATTTCTACCTGCCGATTTTTGGCCATCGCACTGCACATTTTCGGCACGATCACAGTACAGTCCTTCTGCGTTAAACATCAACCCTTCGGGACAGCTCTGCTCTGTTGCTGTACCATTCAAACAGCTCACAAATTTATCGCAAGAAGTACCCAGAAATAGACCAGTGGATTTCAAACACCTCCTGTTCAGTTCCGGGGCTGAAAAACGATTAAACTGTCATTTTATGGTCTAGTGATCATCACTCAAAAACTTACTATTTGTTTTTACCACTGTTTGAGCCGCGCCAATCACATTCGAGTTCGAATTCGATGATTGTGGGACATGAACGGAACTTGTTCGGTTGGAGCAGTCGAAAGAATGCACGTGGTTCGGAACCGGTGCAGGAGAAGGTGCCGTGGAAAGTTCGACCGCTGGTGGTGACTGCTGAAGTTGCTGACCACGGAAGGGTAAAATTACGTAGAGGTCGGTTTGGTTCGCTTTTTGTTGAGGTGGCTTTGACGGTGCAAGAACTGAAAAAAAAGATTTAATAGAAGTGTGTTAAATAAATGTAACATTACAGTCCAAAAAAATTGTAGAATTCACCTCCAAGCAAACGACACCAAAATAACTCCGATCTGACTACCCCTGCGCCCAGCGGACGCGACCGACGCTGAAAGTTAAACCTTTTAAAGAACACTTAATTATTTTCGATTAGTGCTAAAGGCAGCTGTATCTTTAATCCCATCAGCAATCAGTCTATTTCCATTTTCGGTTATTTTTACCTGCAAACTTCGTTATAAATCACCACATTTCCCACCGTATATTACGGGGCGCAAACTACTGGCGATATATCTCGAGTGTGGTTATTTTTAGCTCTCCGAATGATTTAGTGCCATCCTCCTTAATCGGGTAGCGAAATTCTTATCGATCTTATCCGTACATAAAAGGCTATTTTGGGGCCGCATAAAAAAAGGTTAACGTCCTGAATGCAGCCTGCATTCCCTGGTAATATGCAATTCACGGGGTTCCAAGAGTGCTTCATCATATCAGGCATTAACGCGATAAGTTCCCGGCTGAATCGTATAAAATTTATTGACGGGTATACAGAGCGTACGGCCAGATAACGCCCTTTCCTTGTACAGTCAACTCGTTGTGTACTTGAATGTGCGTGAGGAGGGAGAAAATAGCAAAGGTGCATGACTGCCTTGATTTTTTTTCAGGTAAGAGGTCATCTACAGGGTGTACCAAATTTAATGTGCAATATTGTCTAACGTGTGGCATAGTTTTAGTGTTTTTTTTCTCTGTTTATGTTATATTTAGATTTTTCTTCTATAACTTTATTTATCTCATTTATTTTTTGATATTAGATTAATCCTTATATCAAGTTTCTAGAAACAGTTATGGATTACTATTTTTTTTAAGGAGTGTACGTATTTAATTTGTGAATCTCGTTGTCAATGACTTCTGACATTGATTTAGTTTAGCTGAATTGTACTCAACAGCCAATCGGTGCTAAAGAAAACAGCAACAAAATTAAATCGTGAATAGTTAAAATTTAAGCAGAATGCCATATTGTTCCGATTTTTGAACGTCAGTAGGCTTAATGTTGGACCAGGACAAACTCAGAGAGTGAGAAACTTGAAATAATAAATTTAAACGCAATTTTAAAGGGTTCATAAGGGATGATGCACCATTAAAATGTGACACGTACCATATTAAATTCCCTATAAAATAAAGTAATAATTTTTTAAGTTCGCCAACGCCATAATTTTAAAAATGTTGTCACCCGCCGTTCTTGGGGGTGAAAATTCGAAATATTTAGAATTATTCAAATTTCGTGGCTGAAAACGTACTTAGGTATTGTATTTTTGAAACCGAGTGAGTTGCGCGAAACTAAATCTGTACAGGACATAGCTAGTACCATGCAAAACATCGCCATAATTTTTAAAATGTTGTCACCGCCGTTCTTGGGGGTGAAAATTCGAAATATTTAGAATTATTCAAATTTCGTGGCTGAAAATGTACATAGGTATTGAATTCTCGAAACCGAGAGAGTTGTACGAAACTAAATTTGTAAAGGACATTGTAGCTAATACGATGCGAAACATCGCCATAATTTTAAAAATGTTGTCACCACCGTGCTTGGTCGTGAAAATTCGAAATATTTGGAATTATTCAAATTTCGTGGCTGAAAACGTACATAGGTATTGTATTTTTGAAACCGAGTGAGTTGCGCGAAAACGTACATAGGTATTGTATTTTTGAAACCGAGTGAGTTGCGCGAAACTAAATGTGTACAGGACATAGCTAGTACCATGCGAAACATTGCCATAATTTTAAAAATGTCATCGCTGTTCTTGAGGGTGAAAATTCGAAATATTTAGAATTATTCAAATTTCGTGGCTGATAACGTACATCTGTACCTCAGAGCTAAACTGTATTAAGTGCCTAATTTTGGTTATCATTCCAGAACTTCGAACTCTTACTTCTCCTTGATAAAAAAAATTAGTATGATGTGAAGTTATACGTCTATTTTAATATTATTTATTGTAATTTAAAGAATAATTTTCTATTCGTATTTTTTCGAAAAAATGGAGTTAACACTATTTGGCACAAACATGATTTAGAGATTTTATATTATAATATTTACTAATTGTGCGATAATACACGATGAATGTGGATATAATACTAAAGTAAACCAACATGATCTTGATATGTGTGGAGTTAATACTCCGAAGTCAAACTAATAGAATATTAACTCCACATACACCTGTTTGGCTCGGACTAAATTGATGTAACAAGGAACTTAATACTGTGGAAATGAAACACGGTTAATATTAAATACACATATACGATTGTCTAGCTTGGAGACAGGTTGGGACTTATTATTATTTAGCACTGTCTATCTTCGAAAGTATCATGAGTGGGAGTTATTACTGTATAGTACGTGAAAGAGCATAAGAAACTGTGTTGGGCTGTCAAATAATCCCATTTTCGTAAAAAATGGAGTTAATACAGTTTAGCTCTGAGGTACATAGGTATTGAATTTATGAAACTGAGTGAGTTGTGCGAAACTAAATGTGTACATTTTAATAGTGCATCATTCCTTATCGGCCCTTTAAAATGTTTCAATTGAATTGAAATTTGATTTTTCTTAGTTCAAGTATGACTGAAATATTGATTTTTTTTTCGAAATTTGAAACCACTTTCAAGGCCTATAACTTTTATAATAAATAATATAAATTTATAATTAATTTTAACCTTTATAAATGCATTGTTTCAACTTGATGAACGACCGAAAATTACATTAATGGAATTCCATCGCTGTTTCTTTATTAATTCAGCAAAACTCCGCTATCTCGACAAAGAATGACAGAGCGCGAACGTCGCCAAACCTGATCGGTATAACTACACATGTTTTGAATATGTATCTGTTTATAAACTCGCGGATCGTTTTATTTCCTTCATCGTTGGTGTTAAAAAAGCGAATGACCTGGCTACTACCTTCCAGGTCGGTATCAGTGGGCTAGGGTCGCGATATGGCAGATCTCTTATGTTTTTATCTTCCACGCCGATCCTTTTTGGGATCTCGCACCGCTTAAGGTCGTGTGGGAGGGTGACTTGCCGGCGTACTGGTTTAGTCTATATTTTAATAATTACCGTAAAGTGATCTCTGTTCGTCCCACTGGACGTTCCCGATTTGCATGAAAAGTATTGTGTTTTGGGTTATACGGAGGCAGAAATGATTTAGGCGTGACGCGAATTACCGTTAAAAAAATTGTAGGTATCCCAGGAATTTTAAACAAAAAATACTTATGCGAGACGTGGAACAATGTCTAGAGTGTTTTTGCACTATTTTGTTATATATAGGTATGGCATATTTTACGTTCTCATTTGTTTTACTTGCACTAAACTACGTACTATAAAACTTCTTAGAAAGTTTTTGAAAGATTGGTGTTGAAATTTATAAAAAAAATCGCATTTTCTAAAATACCTCTGAAGATGGAATGTCGAAACTTAGGTTAATTATTTATCTGGATAAAGGTAAAAGTCCACTGAATTCGGATATAAATACGTGTACCAGTGGCGGAGATACCGGGAGTTACTTTCACTAAACACCCCAGAAATTCTACGCCACTGAATATTTTGAAAATTGTGTCATTATTTCTAGCTCTTTATGGCTTGTCCACGAAAAACGACGAACCTTTTTCAATGTATTACTTTTGTAACTTTTAGTAACATTACCAAGCACTTCCTTAAATTAATTCAACTCGTTCCGCAAAAGAAGTATATATAATTATTTTTCTAAATATTACGTTTTCAAATACAGTGAAATCATAAAACTAATAGTAAATATTAAAAGATGAAGTAAGTAATAATAGAATAAAATCATATGAGATCGCAAGCTGTGGAAACACAAATGAACAATTTTCGAAACGTCAACGACTTATTGAAGTACGCGATATACAGGGTGTATTTGAAACAAGTGTGTTCCTTGAAAAGGCTGATAAAGGGCATGAAAATGAACAACTTTTATTAAGTAACTGATGGTCTATATGCTTCTGTTTTCGGGAAAATGAATTAAGAAAATTAACCATAAATGTAAGCCGACCCTGTGCATCTTGTGCATGTGCGTTGTGTACTTAGCCGGCGTATAAAACTAACAGTACCGTGTGGTTTGTACAACGGGAACAATTGTTACAATTATCATGTACAAACGGTTTAGGCGCTAAATAACAACGAATCCATAACAAGTCATTTTACTCAAAAACCAAGCATTTTTGTTAAAAATAGTAAGAGACCTTTTTGCTATAGAATAAACCGCAATGTAAAAACATATATTTATTTCGAAAATTTTCCAGTGGCGTAGAAATTATATTAAAAATGTTTTATAGAAATCGCTCAATTAGCTTACTTGTCATTTAAATGCTTACAACCAAATTATTTTATAAGCCGCAGCCATTTTGACACAATGCTGAAAAATATTGTGGCGTATAACTATAAAAATATCACAAATTTAGCCGTGTTCCTAATATTAAATAGCACTACAAAAACAATGATGAACAGTTAAGATGGTTCTAATGCTTTTGGTGCTAGATTCAACGTCAAAAATCATGACATTTCAAAAAACCTTTTTATTTTTAATTATGATAATATTGGAAATAATCACTTAATACGCGGCACATGTAAAATTCACTAGATATATACCATACAAATCACAATAAAATTTTCTCCGCAGTAAAAATTGTTTTTCCAAAATGCACTAAAACGCGTAAAATAATATTGAGTAGGTACTTATTACACCACATAACATTCCGGTTGCGGACATTGTGATTAAATAGAGATGTTTGTTAAGTGTATATCTTCTGATACCTTCACGATACAGTTAATAAATAATTTACTTTTGTTGATAGATCTAATGCTACAAAAATGTCATATTATTGCTACTAAAGATCCCAAAATAGATCCCTTATAAAATTGTTGCTATTATATAACTCACAATATAATCTGCTTTATGACCCAGTTATAA